GTTATTAGAAATATAAATTTTATTTCTATAATTACTATTTATATGATACAGTTTCGAATATATTAAACTATAAACAGAATTTTGCTTAATTCTGGTACCACAAAAATATTCGGACAACAAGATATAATATTATAAATATCTATAAATGAAATGATAATAATTTTTATATTTTGTTGGATAATTTTTTTATTTAATAACATGCTGCAAATATTTAGGCATGTTAAGAATAATTTTTGTTAAATAATTTGTAATGGACGTTTCCATTTCCTCTTTTAATCGAAATTTTAATTCTTCTTTTGATCTTGTAGGCATAATCCGAATGTTACGATCTAATAAATTTCATAAATTTTCTATGGGATTTAAATCTGGTGACTGTGGTGGAGGATGTAATACTTTTGGACAGTTGTATAATAAATATTCTTGTACTATTCGCGACTTATGTTTTGGATCATTATCTTGATAAAATTTGAAACTTCCTCGTATATTCATATTATTAGCACTTTTTATTAAATTGTCTTTTAGAATACTTAAATATTTTTTATTCAAAATTCCGTCAATGAAAACTAATTTCCACTCCTTTACTTGAAATACAACTCCAAATCATTAAACTTCCATCGCCATGTGTCATAGTTGGCTTCAAATTTTTCAGTTTGAATTCTTCGTTTGCTTTTCCTCCATATTATTTTCCGTCCGTCAGATCCAAAAATATTAAATTTGCTCTCATCAGCGAATATTACATCATTTCACCATATTTGTTCTTTAGAAATAAATTCCTTGGCGAAAATTAATCTTTTCTTCTGATTCGCTTCATTTATGAACGACTTTTTACAAGCTACTCTACCGTTGTAATCACTTTCTTTTAATGCTCGACGGATATCTGGATATACTTATTCTTTGTATAATTCTGAAGCCAATTTTGTAGGACTTAATGCAGGATTTACTTTTATTTTTCTAATAATTTTACGTTTATCCCATGAATTAATTAAGTAATTTTGGACATCCTTTCTAAGGTATTGATTCAATGCGATCTTCACAAACATATCTTTTTACAATATCTGCTATCGTACTCTTATTTAAAATTTATTAATTTACCGATCTCTGATTTGTCATAATGAAAAATAACAAGTTGACGTTTATCAAATGAACTATTTTTGCCTTTACATTCAATTTTCACTGTTAACTTGTGTGATCTCGAGGAAATTAGGTTAATTCAATTTAACATGAAATAACAAATCACATTTTGTATGACAAATCATATTTTGTATGACTTACTTCACGATAAACAAGTAAGAAATAAACTAACTTGATTTCCGAGGGTCAGTAAATATAAAATATATTGAGTGTCCGAATATTTTTGCAATTCTAAAATTAAAGATTAACTTATTTAATATTTTTTACATTGAAAACTACATTAGTTAAATAAAGAAATTAATGTTTTTTTACATTCATAATGAGCGTTTATAATCCAATGATTAAAAAAACTGTAAATTTCTTAATCCTATAAAAACTATTTCAAAAATAGTTTCTCTATTATTATGATGTCCGAATATTAATGCGAATATCACTGTATATTTTTCTCACGAATGCTTAAGAAGCGCCTATTATAATTTTAGCATGAATTAATGAGAGGTTAAATTACTACTATAAATTATAAAAGTATGTACATGCTGTACAAATTTTTGCACTTACAAGGAGAACATCAGACGTGGCTCGATTTTTCCTAAATTTTATATCTCAGCAAATAAATTGACGTTATCTATTGTTTTACATCAAATGTCATCATGCCGTCTTTAACGTTAAAATTATGTCAAACTAACGTGTTTGCTGGGATATAAAATTTAGGAAAATCGGAGACCACCATGTCTGATGTTCTCCTTGTGAGTGCAAAAATTTGTAACGTACAGATAGCATGTACATTTTTATAGTTTTTAATCGTTTTCAAGTCGAGGAAGTTTTGATGAATCCAAAGCAAATTTGCTATCGAAATTGAACGGGATGGAGGTGAAGGGAAGATTTTGAAACATCCTAATCAACGGGCAGTCACGCGGTGGCGGCCATGCGAAAATGTCACGCCGCGCAGATACCGGTCGCGTTGTTTCCGATTAAGAGCGATTTACCCTTTGTTTACCATGATTAATATATACACCCATTGCGTAGTGCATGAGGTTCTGGAGAGTCAATATTGGTACGCACATCCGTGTAGTGCGTGCGGCGCAGTAAATAACGGCAATATTATCGATCGATGTGCTGTGTAACAACCAGCAATTAGCGAATCGGCATTAACGCACCTGTTCGTTGCGTTCGCGCGCACGCTTTTATGATAATCCATTCGCAAATTAATTAATAACATCGCTTCGACCCCCTGTCGCGCCGATGTTACCGCAACGATATTAAATCCTGTCCGTTTAACTGTTTCTCATTTTCCCACGGAATCAATGATGAGATTTAGAATCTGATCGCAAACCGCGTCCACCGCATGATTTTTTTCAACCTTGCGTGACGGTTCACGTCGCATGTTGATGAACCATAACGAATGATCGTAGAGTGATCGCATCGTATTCTGCATTGCTCGCCAGCCGAATGTTTATTTATACTGATCGAACGTTAATTTATTAACGAGCGGATGGAGTAATTAAAGCCAACATCCCGTATTGGCGCTGCTGAATGATTGAAGCGGCTCGATGGATATTGAAGTGTAATTAGCTGTATCGGAGATTTCGCGTAATTGCGTTCATGGCTCGGGGAGTCGACGTTGAGGACGATATGGCGCGGTGTGATCGAGATATTGGCGAATTTGGAGCGCGCTAGATTTGTACTAGTGGTAATTATTAATTTTACTGTGTACTGACATTCCTCTCTCTCTCTCTCTCTTTCACGCACACACGCACATTTTATCTCTCTCTTTCTCCCCGGCTATCGTCAAGCTCGTAAGTCACCGCCGCTGCTTTCCCACGAATCCGATCCAACTGGAAAATTAATGCGGGCGCGTTGCCGCGTTGAAAACGCTCGTTCGCCGTGCGGCCATTCATCGGCACACTTCAACAGAGAAAGATCTCGATATCAGCGAACGTGAAACTACGATCGATTCGGCGAAACCGAGAGATATCGCGCTGTTTAGGAAAAAAACTTCTGTAACGTTCCGTTTTCAATTTTTTTGTGAAAGATCTGGAATCTTATGCTCAAAAAATATCGTGATATGAAGATATACTACACATTGGAAAAAGAATCAGGTTGCACTATTTGGAATTCTGGTAGAAAATAAATAACAAATACGATAGAGAACGCCGTCACGATCAAAGTTAGATGTTTCGAATAATACAACATATATTCTTTTTATTAAGTAAATTTATTTCAGATAGAATAATTGCGTTAATTTTCGGACTTTCAACACAATCAGTTTGAAACGCTACTACTTTCTCCTAAATTAAATTAGAAAAACTGTAAAGAACTTATTCCGAAAAATAATCTCAGCCAGGAAATAAATCAATCAGAGATTTCTGGTTAAATCTATTAGAATTCTAATCAAGATAACTAAATGTTTAATTATAATGATCATAGAATTCTAATTTATATAATTATTATATAATATATTGATTTATTCATTTTTAAGAAATTTTTCTTATATAAGGAAATAATCTATAATATACGTAACGTATAATTTCTCTCGCTAATTAGTGATTTTTATGACAAATATTACCAAAATCTCAGCGGTCAAATAGTGAGAACGTCTGTGAATGGAATACAAAAGATCCGAGTTCAAATCCCGACTGAGGTAATATTTTTCACAAAAAATTAAATTATTTATAGTTCTTAAGATGCTTAGATCAGCATTAAATTAATTATTAATATTTTTCTAAGATGCTTAAGTAACATCAAAAATTGCTTGTCAATTTAATACGTGATATTACTAGTCTAGTTTTGTTCATGATTACGTTTCCAGACCAAAAAAGATTCGGCGCGCGGTTTAGAAATTAGATACATATGGTAGAATTAGATATGTATATAAATTCACTTTGAAATATCGAAGCATTAAGATTCGCTTTAACCGAAAATTTATTTCTCTTAATTGATTTATTCTCATCAGTCTAATACTAATTGTAATTGCAATGTACATTATAGTATATATTTTTATACATTTTCATATGTGATATGTTTCGAAACTATGGTCCCGGTTTTACTTTATTATATCTATCTTTTCAGAAGATTATCAAATATTCAAAAAAAGTCTGTCACAGATATTTTCCCGCGGAACTCGAGTGCGTACGATGCTTTAGCGAACTTCATTTCGTCGATTTATGCTTAGCGAATGCGGCGCCCATCAATATTCATTGTTATTTGAAGCTCAGCAACGGAGAAATGAATTAGATTACCTTTGCCAAGCGGGACCGAGCGGGAAACGCTTCCAAAAAGGAATATCCTCTCGCGGCTGCCGCGAAGTTGTGTGTCGAAATTGAATTCCTCGCGACCATCTGGATGCAGAAGTTTCGGAAACTTAACCGAAGAGCGCGGGAGTTTCGAAAATAATACATATTATATATCGGAAACACGTATCGATTACGGATACTGTAGACAACCGTGTACCACGACGACGAGAAAACAGAGGACGTTCCGTCGACGCCGGAAAGGAAACGTTGGAAAGCGCGGGACGCAACGCTGCTTTACATTTCTTTCGCTCCACGAGTTTTCCCGCAGGATATTAGACGCTATCCCACTTCCAAGCGTTCGCAGAGCACACTTCGTGAAATAAGAAGGTAATATTCGATTATTCTGGTTTACGATCCGATTCGCTATTTATAACTACGATAAAAGTAACGAGAGTTCAAGGAACTTTTGAGGAATAACGTTCGACAGGAGGGAATTTGTTACATAATATCATGGAATTTTTCACTCAAAAACTTAATCCTAAAATGCGCTACCGATATTGAGTATTGCTATCGATATGTAAATTTTAAGTACATATAATAAAAAATATTTTGTATTGGAAACGATCCGCTCAAGTCTTTATTAAAATTATTCAAATCCTTGTTAAGTTATTTGAGTATTGACTTAATATAGTTATGTTATTTAAAGATTTTGATGTTCAACCTTTTTTTATCAAAATGACATTGTATCAAAATGACACAATGAGAAAATGAACAAATAACATAAAAATAAAGTTTTAAAACGTCCAAGATGAATGAATGAAATGTATATTAATTTAAGGTATCATAAATGCTAATTTTACTGAAAAAAATATACTTCTATATTAGTTTTTTTTATTAGTTTTTTTTTTTAGAAATCGTGTCGATATTATCTTTTTTTGTATTCTCTTATTACAATATTTGTAATCTCCTATAAACATATTTCTCTTATGTTAAATTAATCAAAAATTTGAGTGGATCATTTGGAATGCAATTTAAGTTAAATTAGATACATTTTTTTCTAATAGTGTAAGATGAATAAAATATCTTGTCAATTTAACTAAAATATCATAAATACTAATTTTATTGAAAAAAAAAGTACAGAATTTACTTACAAATTCTGTCAATATTATCTCTTCTTTTGTTAATTTCTTTTATTTAATATTTGTATTACTTTCTTAATTTAGAAAATGGCGCTTATAACATTTTGCTTTGGCATGCTTTATATAATATATGGATCGAATTTTTTAAATCTTGTTTTTCTGCTTGTTCTAGTTTTTTTTTAACATGATAAATAGGACAGATTTAATATGACAGATTTAACACTTCTGATTACTAAAGACATAATTTAGCGTTCAATGATCTCACTCATTTGCATATAAAATGTATGTATCAATAGCCCGTTCTAAGGTTAATTATTATTATATTAATCTCAGTTATAAAGATATTCGATTAATTCAAATATGATTTATGGAAAGGAAAAATTTTAATCGAAAATTGGAAACAGCTTTAATCAGAATTGGCTTCGTTCCTTTATCATATATGAATATTAGCAGAACGGATCATTATATATCCGATTCCGATGCTTGGTTTGTTTGGAAACTGTAAAGCGATATCGCGAGAGTTTCCATCGTGATATCACGTCGGTGTATTTTCCGACCGAACATTTGCGTGATGCAATTCGTCCATGATTCTGCCTACGTTTTCGTTTCCTCCCTTTTTTTTTTCGTAAACCCGCGAGGCGCAATCGGCCGGGCATGATTTTTCACTATGGATTTGCGAGACGCGTCGCACCGCGGCGGCACCCTATAAATTCGACAGTGCGTATAGATAACAAGCAAATCTGCAAACAATGTTGCAAAGCCAATAAACTCAGCCATAGCCATACGAGAGCGTTTTCAGGAAGAAATTTATCGGTTTTGCGCGAGAATTACCCTAACGGTCCCTCAGCTCTCGCGTAAATTCGTATCGCAGGAAATGGCGTGTCACGCACGTCTATTTTTCGCTTTTACGTTTCTTTACGCGTTCTCTATAATACATAAAAAAAAAATACAATTTGGTAGTTCAGCAAAGCCTTCTGCGTGAGTTCAACATCTATAATCGTCTATAATGCATGAAGTAAGAAGTAAGAATAAGAAATTGACCAATTACAGTTAAATGTGAGAAAAATAATCGACTGTGATTGGTTAACTTTGTAATGTTTTTCTTACTCTATATATTGCAAACGACACCGCATAAGGATTCAATAAAAAAATTAAGCAATTATCAATATTATCACTAATTCAGTTAATTCTTTGCTATAAAAATTGCTAATGTAACAAGTTTTCTTCACTTTACACTCTAAATTTGTTACAGTGAAATTTCACTTCAAGAAAGTGAAAATACAATCACTCTTGAAAAAAAAGTAAAAATATTTTATCTTGAAAAGAGACAATTTTCACTTTTTTAACAGTGAAATTTCATTTCCAGAGTGAATTTTCATTTCAAAGAAAAAAATCTCACTCCAAAAAAGTGAGATTTCACTCTAAAAGGAGTGAAGATGGTAAAGATCGTCATATTTTTCAAGAATGCAAGATTGCATTTTCATCCTCTTGGAGTGAAATTTCATTGCAAGAAATTTAGAGTGTACAGCATCAACATTACACTTAGCTACACTGAGAAAAAATATATTAATTTTAATAAATATTGAATTCAATACTGCCAACTAAACATTTACTTAGAGTAAATAAATATTTGTTCAATAAAAAAAAAAGATTGTTAAATCAAATTAACATTTCTTGTATCAAATAAATCTTTATATTTAATAAATATTTAATTGGCAGTATTCAACTAAATATTTATTAAAATTGATTATATTTTTTTTCAGCGTAGCATTTTGTTAAAAATTTTGATCTATATTGGATTTTAATAGAAAATTATCTTTGTTATATTAACAAATTTGCTGTACTTTTATAACAAATATGATTACCCATAATTGTATTCAGCTGTACAACTTTGTTACTTTAATGTAGAAAACTGGCTATTCGTATATTACAGCTGTAAATTTGCTGTATCAATGAAATTTTTAGTTGTTTAAACAAATCTTTTTCTTCTGTGTGGATGTCGTTAATAATGCTAAAGATTAATGTATGAAATCGTGCACGCCGACAAAGAACAACGGCGTATGAGCGATTACACGTCTTCTGTTGATTTTTCCGACGCATTGCGATTATCGGTATTTGCCGGTTTTCCTTGATGTAATTGAGTTCTCGCGTGCGCTAACGAGACGTTTTCAGGCTACGCGGAAAACGCTTTGCGACGCGTATGATTGATAATGCGGATAACGTTGCACGTGCGATTCTAGAACGTCGATACGAAAAAAAAAGATGATAAGCGGACGAGCGAAAGATCCAAAATGCTGAAGCAATTACGAGATCAATAAAGAAATTGCCGTGCACGACCGATCGCGCCATGATCGTCTTAAATATGGTATAAACGGGATGAGAATATGGGATAAACGGGAGAAGGACTTGGGACGATTGCAATTTCGTCGCTGAAGACGTTCTCGATTCAGTAAAAATAAGCGAAGGCAAATGCGAGGGGGAAATACTACAGGGGCGAAAAGACGAGGTAGTGGAAATTCAGGAGCCGGTGGAAAATTGCCGAGAACTTTTTGTTATTCCGACGAAAAGTTCCGCCATGCTGATTGGATGATAATGAGCTTCGAAAAGTGCGAAAACGAACCGGCGTGCCAGTCGACTTTCAGCAAAGTTTATAAGAGCGGAACAGTTTCTGTGCATTGTTATGACGTCAGGCATCTCTTTCCTCCCGCATGAAATTTTTTTTTTATCTTCCAATTCACTTAATCCGAGAAAGCCGAATTTTCTTATCGCGCCCAACCAGGTGAGTTCGTTTTCGTTCATCCCCGCTGTCGCCTGAAGGGAAATTCGACTTCTCATAAAAATACGCAATTATCGTTACATCCTATTGTCGACGAAACGGCAGAAATCCATTCCGCGGACTGTCGAATCTCTCCGCAATTTCATTCGAATCGTGCGTTTCCCAGTATACGGGGTGATGGAAAAGAGTCTTTCGTCGAACGATACGAGTCGCTTGACGTTCTTGTGAATCACCTTGCCTTTTTTGCCAAAGATCTCATTATTTTGTCAGAGATCAATAATCACTATCAAACTTGTGATTGTTTTTTAGTGCTTTCACTAAAAAAAAAAAAAAGTAATGAAATCTTTTTTGTCAGCTGGTAAGCTGAGGATTCGATCCAAAATCAGAAGTTTCAGGCAGAAAATAGAAAATGTGGTAATCGTGGGACTGTTTTCTATATCGAGAAATGTAGGATTTAAAAGGATGCTGGAAAAGGATCTGTATAATACTTTTATTATACAGACTGTGACGAAACGCACATTTCGTACTTTCCTATTTTTTTCGTTTTCCTTATAGAAAAATCCTTTTTCAGAATAAAAGAAAAATAGCTGTGGGAAAACACACAAATCTATGTAAACAGAAATTATAAATTATAGTTTCATGTTACTAGGGTGTTTCTTCACATATATAAATGATTGCAAGTATATATTCAACAAAAAATTTTTTCCCTACATTTATATTTGAATAATTTATAAGACCATAATGAGACGAAATTATGATTTCGAAGCTTACAAGAGAACGGAAAAGTACAATCTACACTGAATCAAAATCATACGTATAATAAAATATTCATTAAATTAATGAAAATTGGTCCAATAAATTTTCATAATGATTTAGGTTATAAAACTATTACTAGAATTCATTGCAAGAATGAATATTTATGTAGTTATATAAATAAATTCAATTATTGTATCAATGAATTAACTGGACATTAAGTTGGACGTTGATTAACGATCATTCATTGGATCAAAAATAATCAAAATTTTTTTCAGTGTGAATGAATAATACATAATGTTTTATTTGGAATTAAAAATCTATTTTATCGACATCAATCAAGTTTGGTCGTCGCATCCTTTTAAGGGAATTGCGAAATAAAAATTATTGTTAAGCGGCGACGCATCAAATCTCGCTCAAATTTCAATGTAACTTTTCGGTCACCTTGTATACCGTTGTATCGCGGCAAGAATAGAAATCTCTTTGGCGTTCGATTACTAAAGCTATTGGCGGGACGAGATTTATTGACGCTATCGATTGCCGAATGCCCTGGTGCGGCGTGTTAGTGTTGGAAATGTTAGCTCGCATTCGTTTCGCGCTCGTAATACATTCAACATGGAGAAACGCATGAAAGCGGACAGTGCGAATAGATGCAGATAGAGTTTGCGAACAGTTTCACGCATAAAAAAGGAAAAAAAAATAGAGAACATTGAAAGCTGTATGAATCTGTAATTACCCCGACTTGTGACTTCCCGACGAAGTCTCTTGCTTTCTTTGGAAAAACAAAAAGAAAGGCTGGGTTAATCAATGTGATAATATACCTCCATGTGTATGATTATATCGATGTATATGTCGAGCTTCTGATGAAAATACGCAGAGAAGAGTCTCTCTTAAAATAAAACAATGTTTGTTATTTAAATTTAACAAAAAATTAAGTAAGCCTGATATGAAATGAATCTTATATTTTATGATTATATGTTTAGGTAATTAAACATGTATTTAAGCCCACATATGATTAGAGTTAAGCGCAATTAATATTTCAGGCACAATATTTTATTTAAGGACACAAGTGACTCAAAAACGAAGCCTGATTTTTATTATAATCTCATATTAATTTCGCAAAGAAAAAAACTGACTTACTTGACTGACGCTCTTGTCCTTGATCTTGTCGAGAGTTAGTCGCTCCTTGACATAGTGGAGTTTGAGGATTTCCTTCATGCGGTTCTTGTCCTGCAGCATCTGCTTCACGTTCGGCTCGTTCAGCGCTTCGTTGCTGGGCGCGAAGAGAGTGACGTCATGCAGATGACTGATGGTTGCCATAATGTCGTCCCCGAAATCGCGGATAGTCTCGTAAAACTTGTACACCGGTCCATCCTCCTTTTCCTACACGAAGAGAAGAGATTTCTGTCGATCGGTTACGCATTGCTCGCCGCGCCTCGGTACTACGAGGAGCCGTGTCGAAAGGAAAAAAAAAATATAAGACGCAAATGAAAAAAGCAAGAGAAAAAGAAAGAAAAAGAGGAAAAAAGAAAAAGTAAAGACATCGAGATTACTTATCGAAGAGGATCGGTGGCGTCCAATTTCGACCCGAAATCATCAATATTCCATTACGTGTTAATCAAAGAGGAGAGGATGGCATCTTACAGATTAAGGCGTAACGGAATTTTATATGAACTGAACGTCGAATCTCTGGGTGCCATTTACTCTCTAGAAAGAAACATTGGAAAGCGAGAAAATAAAAAAAGTTGGAGAGGACCTGGAGAGAAGTTGGACACGGTAGAGAAACATACTAAAGTGCGGTGCGGAGTTCACGAAGCTTCCGACTTTTCATCGCGTTCTCAGACGGTCCTATGTATCCCCGATGAAAATTTCTTTTCATATATTTAATCGTCCGTTATTCTCGAATCTAACTAAAATTTTTGTTCAAATAAAAGCTTCTAGAACTGATTACCGAATTCTGCGAGCTTGTAAACATCTAACGAGAAGACGTGAAAACCATGTAATCCTGGAAAATAAAATTCTTTGTGGGAAGCGACGATTACGCAGAAAGAGATACTAAAAATTCCCGAGAGATCACTTAAAATGAAAAATACTCGAAATTCAGAGGGTTGAGAGACAGAAACCGTTGCAATTAGATTGACGTAACGAACTTGAAACTCCGTGCAACTTGCGCCGCAAGGAAGAGACGGAATGAATTACTTATGGGAAATATACAAGGTGTAAGGGAAAAGAAAGCGTGACTAGGAGTGTTAGTCGTTCACGGAAGCAGCAACATTACGTGATGCACATAATTTTCTTCGCCCAAATTGCCCGGAGTGCCGATCGCGCTTCCTGTACAGACTGGAAGATCGTGTGGCACGAAAATTTTGGAAATTAAATTTTAATAACTCAAGGAAATTAAAAATAAAGTTCGAAGAAAAGATCCCGCACTAATTATATGAAAAATTAAGTCCTGAAATAAATTAATTTTTTACATAGTGAAGTTTATGTGGTGAATAAAAAATGTTATAAACACAAAGCTTAATAATGGAAAGTTCACTGTAAAAAATAATGTTTTATTCTTGTCCTCATGTTTTAAACACTTAAAGATGTTTCAGTTTTAAATTTTTTCAATAGACAAAACACTAAAAAAAAACTACTAAAATGCATAGTGTTTTAAATCCAAACACGTGGTTTTTGTCTATTGAAAAAACACCACGTTTGAAACTAAAACATCTTTAAATGTTTAAAAAATGCAGACAAGAATAAAACATTTTAATATTTTAAAATTAAACACATCTTTTTTCAGTGTTTTTGGATTGGTGTAGCAAAGATATAAAAACAATTATGATTTGTATTAGACCGATGAGAATAAGAGAAATAATGCAGAAAGGCGAAAAACTTTTATTCAAAAGCATCTTTGGTACACCATAGTTTAAAACTGTCTACTATTCAGCCTTATGTCTATGACATCTTTTGTTTATTACTATAAATTACATTATATGTAAAAACTAATTCATTTCACCCAATTTTCCATATATTTCGTGCGGGATCTTTTGGTTACAGAATGGAGATTTAAGGAAAAATGGCAAAAGAAATTTTGAAAAGGAAATCGATCTCGCTCAAATAAGCAAACGAAATTGGATATGGTACTTTAACTCTTGTTATGCGATTTTTCGATAATACCGTATCATAAAAGAAGCTGAAAATATCCCGATACAAAGTGACATGCCAATACTGCATCAATATCGGTACTGAAATATCAACTTTTTTAAAAACTAAAAAAAAATTTCTTTTTTTTTTAAATATCGAAGAATCATATTAAAAAATAGATGACAAATATTATTAATTTGTTTTTCTTTTCTCGTACAAAACCACAATTTCAGATGAATTTGAAAAATGTTTTAGGAAAGTACCAGGTAAGTCATAAATGGGTCGTAACTCGGCAAGTACTTGTTCTAAAGTATATGCGTTCTTTTGATAAATCTCAACTAGGGATCGCGTATTTTCTGATGAAATACGTGACTTACACGAGACATTTGAGAAGAAATGAAAAATTCAGACATGTAACTCGACAGGGAATGGTTAAGAGATAGATTTTCCTCCTTAAATATCTTGGTGAGGGAAGCACGAAAGGTCTTACAGGTCTTTCTCGTGAAAGACACGCTTTACGAGATATCGTAAAGAAACTACTGGATGTTAAAAATTTCGCAAAGTCGAGGAGAGTAACACAAAAGTTAAAATGGACATCCTCGTATCCTCGTACAACTCCTGTCGGATCGCATTACATCGTGAGTAGAAAAAAAAACCCGGAAAGGTAATTAACGAGCCCACAGTTTCGATGTGGTTTTCAGTCCATGTACGAGCTTAATGAGAGAGAATGACCGGAAAAAAGAAGGGAAAGGGGAGGATTTTCAGAATAAAATAAATCGCAGGATAAGGGAAATCTAGAAAACAATAGAGGAAATACAGGAAATTCGATCATCGTGCCGGAAAATCACTTTCGGGCGTTCTTGATTTATGCAACGCGAACGACGAAAGAGAGAAATAATTCCCACGGATTTTTCTACACCTGCAAATTGGAATGCATACAACTACTTTTCTAATCAAAGAGAAGTGAATGTCCATTATAATGCTGAAATCAAGAAGCGAAGTAAAGTCAAAGGAAAATATTTGAAAATGTATGTTTACTCCGAGAAATTCTCAGCGCCAATCGTTATGTCTCTCTCACTCTTTCTCTTTCTCGACGTATATGAGTACAAAATTACACGATTCTCATACCGGTCAGGTAATATTACTAAAAGGATGGAGTTTATGCACCCTCGGGTTAGAACAACATCGGCTTTCGAGCGAGAAAAATCTACGGAAGTCATTTCTCCCCTTTTCCGTGTCCGCCAAACGCCGCCGGCATTTCCCCCGTGGCACAAATCCTTCTCTTTTCCGAACCTCCTCACCGCTTTATTTCACCCCTCTTTCCCATTCTCCCTTTCATCCTTTTTGCTCATACCTCGTTAATCTCTCTTCAGGTTCGAGGCTTGAAGCCGATGGGAAAGCCGGGAAGTAACAAAAAGGAGGATTAACTAGGCATCTGAAGGCGTTGAGAGAGAAAAATATTGATAAAAAACTAAAAAGAGAGATGAAACTGACCGACAAAGATAAGAGACAGAAAGATATACAATATATATATAT